CACACACACACACACACTATGTTTTGGCTTTAGTCTCATTTTTGCAAGCTTGACGAGAGCATCAACAGATTGCCAGGCATTTACAACTTGTCTCTTTCATCTTCATGCTGCTTTTTCCCCAAGTACATGTACTCTTTTGTCTCATTCTGGGATGCCCGGAGGTCTCAGTGTCACAAGTGCATTGTGGTTAACAGGAGGCCCCGCTGAGGCGCAACACTGCACAAGAATCAATGGAAATACTGACATATCTAACCTGTGACTGCTGAAAGCTCAGAGACTGCTCTCATCGTGTGTCTGACAGCTCAACCGATGTGAAATACAGAACAAAAACACACCTCTGCTTTTCACATTAAAGCTGCTGCACGTTAACACTGAGGGCCAATTCATACTGTGTACGTTGCAGCGGTGGTGAGTTACGTTACGCTCTTTGAACTCATAATGGGCACATTATTCTCGGACAAGTTGCTCACCGGACAAGATTTTGATTGAGCAACACAGTTTGCCACTGGTGTCTGCAAGTGCATGAGTGCGTGTGTGTGTGTGTTGTTCCCCAGAGTGACTAATGGTTTCAGCAGCACAGTTCCTGTGGCCTGTGGCTTGACAGACATACAGATGTGTGTGTGGGCATGTGTGAAAGGGATGTAGTACTCACGTCCAGGTGTGGTGGGATGTATGCAGAGTCCATGGTTTATCCTTGAGCTCCAGTGTTACGATCCCTCGGCTCTCGCTCCCGCTCCTTTAGACAGAATAGACAAAGTGGACTATTTTACCTCTTTTTCTCTCTCTCTCCTTTATTTTTCTACCTCTCTCAAGGTAACCAGTGCCTGTCTCTCCTATGTCTCCTATGTAAATGGACTGTAGGTAATGCTCCTCTGTCCATGTTTTTCTCCCCTCTCTGCTCCCTCGCTCAGCTTCTCATCCTGTTGTCAGTGTCAGATAAGCAAACTCTTAAAAACATCCACCGGCTTCCCCTCTGCCTGCCTGACCTCTGCTAGTAGGCAACTCCCTTTCTCTGTCGCCTGCACTTCCAGCCCTAGTTGTTTAAAATACACTGGTATTGCTGCTGTGGATGGAAGCTGCAGGAGGAAAATGAGTTGTGTCTGTCTGTCTGTACTGTATCACCGGCAACAACTCCCTCTTGCTCCTAAACCTCCTTACTATGTCTCTCTCCCTTCCTCTGCTCTATGTTCCTCCCTTTTGTATCTCCTCCCCTTTTCCTCTCTCTCTCTCTTTCTCGCTCTTTCTCCCACACACACATTTCTATGCTATACTAAGTGCCCAGCTGGTAAACTCAGTTTAACTCTAATTGACTTTCCTGGCCACTAAGATCCTCCCAAATAGTGATGTCACTAAGACCGGTCCCAGTACATTTACAGGCTGTTCTCTCTCTCTCTCTTTCTATCTCTCTCTTGCTCTCTCTCTCTCTTTCTCTCTCACTCTGTCACACACACTCAGACACACACAAGCAAACAGACATGAGTACAAACACTCATACTTATATGCATTCTCACACGCACACACAATCTTACTAAAATGAAACTAAAAACACTCAAACAGACAAGAATGTACAAATGTAAACACACCCCTTGCACACACCTACACACACACACACACACTTGCATGCGACCCATTCCAGATAACCCCCGAGGTCAACACACAGAAGCAGACTGATTATTTTCCACATTTGTCCTTTAACAAACTCACCTGCTGCTTTTTGTTAGCACCATTTTACGTTTCGGCCAACACTCGCTCCGTCATTATAAATACGAGGGCCCATGACACTGAATAAGAGCAAACAGATTCAGTTACAAGACAAAGGTATGAATGGATGACTCATAACAGCTGCCATGAAGTCACCTCAGTTGAGTTTTGTGATTGGATGGAAGTAAACGTTGAGGTAAAAAAAAAAAAAAGGAAAAAGCTGTACTTCTCCACTACGGGTTGAAGCAAGGTGCATCCGTCCTTCCAGCGCAGAGCGGGTGGCGTGGTGAATTTGTATTCATGGGGTGGGCCCATGAGAAAACGTCTCTTTAGGATGCATCGTCTCACATATTAGATCTCATCTGGAGAATCACTTGCCCACGTCCCCCTGCTCCTCCTCTCTGTCCCCTCCACTTGCTCTTCCCGTCCACTCTCGTACAAACACAAAAAAACTCATCCACAGACCTCATTCATCCCGAGGCTGAGTAATTGTCCCAACGCAGAGCAGCTTTACACACAAACACACACTCATTCTCGCAACACACACATTTTCTTTCATTTAAAAAAAAATAAAAAAACTCATTGACAGTTTGATTCTGTTTCTCAGATTCAGGATGATTTTGTAAATTATTTGTTAAAATTGTCTATTTGAACATTTTCACTCATCCTCCTCCCCTTAAAACAACTGATCTATACAGAGTTGCACAGTCACATCAGTGAATCATCTGGCTGGGAGGTGTAGTGAGTACTGAGCACGACTGGACCCCATGTCAGCAAACATCCACCATGAGTCCTTGGTAAAACTCTGAACTCCTGCAGCCCCAGCTGACCCTGACCTTTGTCCTCCCTAAGGACAGGTTTAAGTGAAAACTGGATTTTTCTTTTGTATCACTGTAGATAGATATAAAATATTTTTTGGCCTTTGCCATCTCCAAACATAGCCCAACTTCACTATCAGTCTGTGTATTTAATCTCTAGAATCCCAATGAAGACTTGAAGCCCCCACCCTGAGTCTTATTCTCTGGGTTTGTAGCTACCATGCCTCCTGGTATATCATCAGTCCCCATTCGACCTCTGTTCACCCCATGTACATCTCCACGTTATCTGCCATCCAGTTAGCTAATTTGCTTACAAAAGAAGTTTGGTTTGTAAGTTTGTAACGGACCATTTTCCCAAAGCATATCCTTCATTTTTAGATTAATTTCCTTCCTTCCAGGCAGCTGTTGTTTGTAGTTAATTTCAGCATGCAGTGAAAATCAAATTGCAAGATAGATAATCCATCATAGTAATTAATAAGGAGACATCTTGCTTACAGTATTTTGTCCAGGAGATTAAACCCTGAAGACAAACAGCAAGCAAACATAAGCACTGTTAAAGTATAGTTCGAATATGTTGTTGTATTTGTCAGAGCTTCTCACAACCCCTTGAATGCACCACCAGGGAGAGCTTTACAGTAATTATGCTCCCTGTTTGCAGCTTCATTACCATGATAACATAAACCAATAAAATCAACCCAAGCAGGTTGTTTTCATACTGCAAGAGCTAAAACCAACAGCTGTCTGGAGGGAAATAAAATATGTTTAGAACATTTAGTCCGTGGAAATGTAAAATATGCCCAATTCTTTTACTTCTTAAACAGGTGGGCCAGTCATTACAAACTCCTGCTGAGCAGCCAAACATTAGAATATTATGTTAACCTCAAGTTTCCAAAGATATCAGGTTATAATTAGGGAATCTCCGTTTCATGGAATGGTGCAGCCATTAAAAACATGTTTTGAGTCATATGTAGCAATCTTTTATTCATTAAGATAGTGGGGTCACCTATAAGTTTTGCAACCTTAAAGCTATACTTAAAAGGGACAAAAAAGGAAAATGCTAAATTCACTAGTATGGGCCTTTTAAGTAGATCTGTGAGGTGATAAAGGCCTGTAGAAGTTCTGGGTTCAGACAGCTGAGCCACAGCTCTGACTTTACCAAGTGCCTTCTCCAAATGAGCAGTAATTCCAGCCTCCAGGTTTCCCATCCTCTGGAAAAGCCGTCGGCTGCTTGTCCCGCTGACTTCCGACGGGGGTGGAGAGAAACTTTTAAAGTAATACCTCACCGCCCTCTTAACAAGCCATCCATCCGTCCTGCATCAGTGTTCCCACCTCCATACTGCTCCATCCCTCCATGGACACAGAGTGAGGCCCCGTCAGGAGAAGAGGAGGGGGGGTGTTTGGGCATATTCCCTGTTCAACTACCTCTTTCTTTCTTTTTCTTCTTTCAGCAAATTGTCACACATAATTACTCACTGATCAACACGGTCATCAGTCATTCAGTGACGGAGTGGGAAGGAGAACGGTAAATCTAGATAGAAAGGTGACTTGGCTTCATATAGCGAGAGCAGTAACAGCTGTAAACACAAACACACCCACTCAAGTGTGTGATTGTGTGTGAAGTAAATACTTACCACGGTGATAATATGGGAATTTATGAGGCCCAATAAATGGCATCAACAATCCACATTATCTGTTCTCAACTAAACATCTGTGTCTCCAGACGATGAAACTGACTGTTAATTGTCACTCAAAGGTTATAGACTTTGTCTGTACAAGTGCATCTACAGCAAAACCTGCTACAAGACTAAAATGTGTACGTGTTAAAGTCATGTGTCACTGCAATAAGGCTGCAGTTAATGACTCTGAATCATTCTTAATTAGAGAAAGTTTAACTCTGACTCTGTAGACTCATATGCATTATTCACAGGCAGAACCGGTAGTAAAGGCAAAGTTTACTGAGGGGGCAGGTGGGGGTGGAGGTCAGGTGATGAACTCATTGGGGACTGCTGGACAGAGAGGAAATGTCACGCTCTGAACTGACATGAGTTTTTTAACAATGGATAGACTGACTTGTGGCAGTTACTTTAAGTAACTGTTGGGTCTAAATTTAGCCAGACAGATGTCAATAGCAGATGGTGCTAATTTTATTGCAGAAAGTCGTTCAACAAACTATTATCATATTTGATTTGCAGAGAAAACCTTTGACTGTTTCTTTTGACATGGTTGCTTTTAATCACTGACTTAAAGCTGCAATAGTCAGTATTTTTACACCACAATGGATCAAATGTGAAAGGGGTCACTCGTAGTCATGAAAAAAAGCTTTAAAAACCTGCTGTGCGCTACCTGCCCAGCACCAAATGGCAGACAGACAAAGTTAGTGACAAGCTAATGATAGAAGTGGAACATTTAGCTGCTAAAGAGGCAGATATTTCCCTCAGGAGTTGAAGAAAAACAGAGCCAAAGGAGAGGGAATATTTTTTCTCCATTTGCAAGGTGATGAGAGACACAACTCATAAGGTCTGCCACAGCTTGTCAGTCAAATACTGACAGCATTGTAGGGTTAAAAAGACTGCGACTGTTAAAAGTTGGAAGTTTTGTCCTGCACAGAGAACAGCAGCTGTGGTCAGTATGAATTCATGCTGGCATGACATCTTTTTTTACTTATCAAATAATTCAGTTTTGTGCAAATGTGACAAAAGGAAAGAGTAAAAATATATGGCAGCAAAATCCAATGTATTTTGCATCTTCAAGTTTATACACAAGTTCAATTCAGTTTAATTTAAGTTTAATTTGTACAGTGCCAAACCATAACATAAGTTATCTCAAGACATTTTTCATATAGAGCAGGTCTACACTGTATTCCTTATAAAACTGCTCAACCCTCAATGATAAAATGTTTAAATCTGTTTCAGTTTCAATGAGAGAGGCCACATTCACTGCAGCTGGAAACTGTTGTAAAGGCACATGTTTCTCAGAATAATCAACCCAAGCTATTAAATCACTTAATGTAAACCTGTGTGAGAGGGAAAATCTCTTTTCTTTGAACCATTGCGACGGTTGAAATGAATGAATATGATTATTTACTATACCGTTGAGCAAAAGTGTAAAAGTTCCTTGTGTTGCAGACGAGTTGGAGAGTGCCGTCACCAGTGAAGGGACACTGATAAACATCAACATAATGTGAAGTGTTGTTTTGGAACTTATGGAAACAATGGAGCTTAATGACTTGGTAGTCTGCAGTCTTTTTCCAAAATCAAATTTTCCTGAGAAGAGCACGTCACGGAGCAGAGTGAGTCATGAGAGAAAAGCTTCACGGCCTCCAAAAATAAGCAAAGATTGATGTTCAAACACTTAACGTGATCGATGCCTCACAAGGAAACAGCCTGAATGACAAACATGAAGAGCCGGAGAGTCATTTCTGTGATGACCTTACATTTACCTTCATTGTGTGCATGTAATGAAGTTACATTGTTTTGCCTTTGATGTGCAGCCATGAAACTTTGTAGACTTCACAGAAAAAAAGATGTAAATTGTTTCGTGCTCATGCTGTTTACTCCAATTTGTTTGAGTAAATGCTACACATGTTGGATTTTTTATCATTAGTTTATATTAGATAATTTTAAAATACATTTAACTTTCAGCTTCAAACAGCTCACAACAAAAACCCAATGAAGAGAGTGGAAGCGGGTTAACATGGTTT